TAACCAGTAATCGACTTCGAGTTGTTTCGCCGAACGAATCGCACATCTCTGATCATTGAGGGGCTGCTCTGATTACACTATTTTCAAACTATAAACCCTTTTCGATGGTTCAAAAAGTTCACTTTCAAGATTTCTTATCTGCATTTTACTTGGTTTTCCTTATACTTGTTGATATATATGTCTCCTTTACCTCTGGAATTTGGGGGTGAGGTAGGAGCTACCAGGTCGGTCACCTACATAAAATCCTTCCTGTACTGGACAGCGAATAACAGGAGACACAGCATTTTGTTCTTCGAAATTCGCCTGTTTTTAGGATTCGACTTTTCTTTCGTTTTTTACCTGAATTTTTCGGCAGTAGGTCAGATGAGTCAGGCTATGGCTGGCGCCGTGCTTATGCACCGTCTACAGGCGTCGTAGGAATTAATGCCTCCGTTTTAGTGTTCATTTGTTGTTTTCGGTGTCATCAACTTAAATAGAACGGAATCAACCAGTTTCTTGCAGTGAACTTCCGTGAATAGTGGCCGTAAAGGCTTTCTAATAGAGCTCGTTCGTCGAGTGTAAGTGACAACATCGATGTTCCACCGATGCAATTGATCACTGCCCCTAGTCCTAGCTGCTACTTAGATAGAACTTAAGAAGGTTTGGCAAAATTGATCTCACACGTACGAGAATCTTGAAGTTTCTCGTAGAATACGGTCCCCTCCAAAAAGGGGGTCGGTACAATTCTATTCTCATAAGAAAGAGTGCCCTTTGCGCAAGAGGAGGTGGGTTATCCCTATCACAAAGCTGATTTACATATCGAATCAATTCCAGATAGTTTCCCTTTCTCTCTTGGATACGACAGCTCCTCCTGTATTGAGCAAATATGTCCACTTTGTTCCGACATAACTCCTCAGCCACAACCGATCTTGCCTCAAGTTATTAAGCTACTTCTGTTTGGAGGTTAACGGGGTTCTAAATCTAGCTTTGATTGTACTGAAGGCTTAGCTTTATCATTTAGATCGTTAAAAGTTATGGTGGCATCCGGAGGATCTCTCTTTCACCTATCATCGGAGGGGTAAAAGGTGGAATTGATGACAGTATGGCTCCCATCAAAGTTGACAGTTCAGAAGTATTGAAAATAGACTACCATTAGAGTCATTAGCATAATTTGAAGGTTTGTTGAAGGAAAACTATTGTCGGATTTTGGAAGGGACCCATAGCTCTAGATGACACAAGAAGGTGTTGCAGATAGCGAGGGGAGAGAGCGGAGAGAGTATGGGTCTGTCTAGCCCATGCTCACGATTCCAAAAGTTATGCTCACTAACAAGCCACACTTTCACTTGAAAATGCTTCCATGCCCACCAGTCTGTCTTCCTACCACGGATCGGATGCATGGCGAATTCTGACGGCCGGAGAGTTGTCTGAACGCTTACATTACTTTTCATGCTCCAGAAGTAACCCAAGTGGTTAAGTTTGATAAATCGGGACGAGTTGAGGAAGTGAACTCGGAGAATACCCAACAAGCAAAAAACCCGTCTCGTACGGCATGTTCGATTGACCGGTGAATTTCCAGAATTGGCCGTGATCTACATAAAAAGCATTCTTTGCCAGTAACTGTTTTCCATACTAGTCGTTTTCATCCCTCTTTTCTCCTCCCGATCCTCCACGGAAAAAGGAAGTTCAGTAAGAAATAGGGTCACTTCATTGTAAACCTGCAGACTACGTCGTTCGGTCCCGGCACGAGCCATACCGTACAACAATCATTTTTAAGCTGAGCTAATATGCTCCGAGCAACTAGTGAGAGAATTAATGGTTGTTGATGTTAACCTCGTTAGGTGCCCTGAGAGGTAGCAACCAGTTCGATGTACCTGAAAAAAGTCGATGAGCTTCATTGTCTTGCTCATTGTTGTCCATAGTCGTTACCACCGCACGGCGGTGGATCCACTACCCACTGAATTCTTCTGAAGGGCGGAGGATGCTCCGCTTCGTTCTGTAGAAGACGTTGAAGTACCCTCAAATACTCTCAGCCAGATTTCTTTCTACCGGTTATTTCTTATTTTTCGCCTTCCTCGGCCATTGGAACACCGGTAGTACCATTTTTCAGGTCTTTCAAGTTTCTCTATAAATATAAATCTGTAAAGTCTTTATTTTTGTCAAGACTTCAGACTAGAATTTGATAAGTATTTATTCGAGATGTAACTGAAACCTCTACATCACGATTGACGTTGGAACACATAGAATAAGTTTTTAACTTCGTGAGATATGCTATATTTATTACGTATTCAATACACTATGAAGAAAAGCATGTGGAAAATATTCTTGGAAAAGTCCCGCGTTGCTCCAAGGTGCTAACGATGCTGATATGATTATGATAACAGGCTATGGGCACCGAGTTCCAAATTGCCTTTGTGAATTTGCATATGCATCTCGAGTACATCACGACTGAAAAAAAGAAATTATTGATCAAGAGTATCGATCACTGCAGAACCTTACTGCTAATGATGCTTGCTTCACACGCTTTTTTCCATTCTATGATTAGATTTCCTTTGTAAGTATGGCCTTTCCAAAGTAACTGGAGATGGAAAGGATCCCTCCTCGAGATTTAATTTTAAAAACTGGATAATTACATATTTTGGTCTCGATTGAGTCTGTCTATGAGATACGCCTCGCATTCGACCAATATTCGTAAAAAAAATCGTAGCGGCCAACTGAATGTGTACGTTGCCTACGAATTGCCGTTTCCAGCCGATGTACAAGTAGGTGCTTTTATCCTCCCAGACGAGTCTGATACCAATTAGGTTAATCCGGAGGGATGGAAGGCTCGTTTAACTCTATCTGATTGGTATCTCCCTACCTTGGTAGTACGCTACTTGGTACTGCAACACTTCTGCCTTGGTTCAATTTTATTCATTTCTGAGATACCATGTTCTATCTATCCTGCTTGCTATACAACAAGTTACCTACTTTGTAAGTTTACCTATGTTTTCGATATAGCTTTACATATGTCCTACTTAAACTCCCGGTTTTTCACCAACCTTCCCCTGACCCAAGTAATTGAACATTCCAAAATGTCGTGTGTACCGAGGAACTTTGTCGAGCCAATGACATTGACGTGACATACGCTGCCGATCGCAAACTGATTTCAGTTTTTCGGGCCATTGTTGAAGTTTCTTGTGGTACACATGGATTCTTCTATTCAGAACACACTTTCAACCTGATTCATGTCAACAAACCTTGCAAATCCATCGCCACATATTTGGCAGATGCAATTCGTTGTGTTAGCATGCTTTCTGATATGATTTTCGAATCGGCTGGCAGTATTGAACGACAATCCACAAAGAGGACAACGACGTAGAGAATCGCTATGAGTGCGACAGTGGGACAGTAGCGCTGATGACGATGAGAAGACCTTAATAGTATTTTTTCATTCGATTCATGTCATACATACTGTGCGTGTCACAGGGGAGATAGGGCCTTAAAAACGTCCTGGGATTTTCAACCAGAAGGAGCTAATCATAGAATGGGAAGGGGCTCATTTTCTCTTTCTTTTTCTGATTTCTATCTCTAAATAAAGCTAAGAACCTTGTTTCTGGGAACTGGAAGTAGAAACAGGTTTTGCTTGATTCAGAATTGTTCGGTTTCAGGAAGTTAGGTCTTTCGGTTGAAAACAAACTTTGGATTACGGTAAAGGCTTATTAGTGCATCGGAAATAGAGACTCACCAAGGAACACTGCTGACAAGCAAATGATTCACTGGGTGAGGATGGAGCAGAATTCGATCTGAAATTTCGACTTTTTGAGGAAAAGTCCATTTTAATTCCACTGTTCACAAATTTCATGCGAATATTTCTGCAAACATCTTAGGTTGTGAATTGGTCAGGTCCCAATCTTGCCCAATCGTTTTAACCTCACTACGGGTTGGTAGGGGAGTGGTTGCTAAAAGAAGATGCAGGAAAACTATTATGTGGGTTCGTAGCCGGATCTAATGCAGCAGGATTTCCTTTCCTGGATTTCTTACTCGGCCCAATGTCCGAGGTCATATGTGGAACTAGATACACTGACGCTAGGCAAGATGGACCTCACTCAGATGGAGCTTCCATTTGGGTTAGCTACCTAAATGAAAAGTCTACCACCTATTGAGTACTCCCTTTGAAACTCAACCAAAATCGGCTGCGGATTTTTTCGATGACAACAAATTCCTCAAAAGGTTCGTACTCACCCGGTTTTCGGCTCGGCTACATGTTTGAGGAGGTGGTTTTCGAGTTGAACAGCAAAACGAAAACTCTCATCACACATATCACAACAGTGTAGAGGCTGCTCCTAGAAAATCGAAGTTTAAAGCCAAAAAAGCTACCTTTGACGCATCGTTCTGGTATGAGCCAAGCATTCCTCTTCTACTCAAGAAATCCAAGAAATTGATTACATGTGCCCATTCGATGACTTGGAGAAATAAGTAAGTCAGTGAGTTTCAAACAGATCAGCTGGAGATTGAAAAGTTGCTCATGGAAGGATAGAGAATCTCTTGTTCTGGGCTATTTGTGATTTTGGGGTACAATGAATCCTCTGTGACACCTTTATCGTTTTCTTTTGATTTGTGCTTTCGGTGTGACTGATACTGCTCTTGAATGCTCGGAAGATTGAAGGTTCTGTTTGAGATAAAGTTGGTTACGAGTCTTTTACTACTAAGAATCAAGGCTTTCTAAAAAGTCATATGGATCAGTACCGGTTCGAAAAGCGGGTCGGGTAGGGCACAATAAGACCTCCAAGACTGCTCGGGAAACCATTGCCACTCAAAATTCCAAGGAAGGACGTGTTTATTGACCTAATTGGGCCTGATATCATCCGTGGTGGAGCACGTTTGATGTGACTGCACTGAGCTGATACACACTAACAGCTAACAGAAGTTGCTCAGTACAGAATGAAATCTCGTCCAAACACCCCACTCTAAGGTTTACTATGAGATTCTCCCGAATTATCCTTCAAAGTGGGTTGGAACTGTTATCCTTTCTCTTTTTTCTTTTGCACAATGACCAGTTTCATGTTGAAGCCACGCCCACCTCGTTATGCTCTTCCGCCACATGGGTAAGTAGGTGTTGCGCCAAAGCAAACGGTCGTAAACAATGTGGGCAACAACGGCGATTATCGTGTTCCATCAGATGTACGTTCAATTGGAGATAGTTCACTAGTACCTAAAATTCGTTACTATTATTTGTGACGTCTCTAATATCCTGCACAATAAATTATGCTCCGCCCATCAGTCGGCCGAGTTGGTGGTATAGATTTTCAAACTATACCTTTCCGCAAATTCCGCACGTTTGTTCACCGTCCTCGATGTCAGATCGCCTTTGCATATGAAATTGGCAGTGTAGTATGAGTTGTGTTTCGCTACGTATTGATTGCCTTAAAGGTCACGTAGAGACATTAAAGGACTTTCTGTAGGGTACGCTCATACCTACAAACTGCACAGTGCATGTAGAGATCAGTAGTATGCATTCTAGTATGCTTCTCAAAATCTTCGGGTGTTTTCAGGGGGGCTTGACAAGCTGCACACGCATCCGCTCGAGGCACCTGAAATGAATTCTCTTAGACTAGGTCGAACTCCCTAATAGCATGCCAATCCATAAACGTATTGGCGGTGTATGTCACGGCAATGCAGTCATGGGATTTGCTTACCCGAAATAGGCATTCACCTTTGAGGACGTTATAGGCAAGATGAGTGGTGCCTTCAGTAAGTAACTGGGAACGGAGTGAACAAGTCTGTATGCGATATCCAAGGGTTCACTCAGTTGCTTAGTACTCGGTCAGGAATTTTGTTTTGATTTGATCTTATTTCATGAGCGCTATACCGAAAAACAAAAGATAGTAAAGCACTCGGAACAGAATTCGGTACTATTAACAGATAGGGATCCTGACTAACGAGTATAATTGAAATACCAAATAGAGAAAGTCATGGGTAGATCGAAGTTCGCATGAAAAGATTCGATAACGGTTGGCATTCAAAGTTGTAGGTCTTGTAAAATCGTAAATCAATTATTTTTGCGTAATCTGTGGCATCCGTTCACTTCCTTATGGCAATCGGAATTACATAGCCCTCTTTAGGCAGTAGTAATTGCGTATTAATTGTAAGTCTGATTTCTGGATTATATGATGCCTCTCCATCATGAAAAGTGATGTTTGAGCGTAGTCAATTGCAGAGATCAATTAACCATATGGCTAGCTAATCATCCTGGTTACTCCTTGGGATTCTTACTCTCCCTTCACTAGTGATGAACTAGTGAAGGAAGAGTGTTAGGAATCCCAAAGAGTAACCAGGATAATTAGCTGGGAGGCGCAGTAGTAATCTTACGTTTTATTCACGAGCACGCTAGATACATTCAGTCAGTGCATAATAAATAAATCAGGCATAGAAGATGACTCCGTATGTTCTACATTTGTTCGTACTAAGCGAAGACGAGGCGAAGTAGTGCCACATGGCGCACAATCGCAGGCACGGTCCCGGGATCAAGTCCCGACTCGATACCTGATGAAACCAAGCAAGCTTTCACTCCCTCCGGGTTATGCTTCTCGGTAACAGATTTGTGTGGAAAGATAAAACACTGGTTGAATTTGTTCATACCATATGCATCCAATCGCCACTACGATTTAGAATGAAAGTCGAGTGTAGGAGCTCATTCCTGAACGGGACTGATCATCACCAGTTCACTTTATTCTTTTTTCTTTACTTCCGCTACCAGGCACGATTTTTGGAGCCTCTCTAAGTGTCAGTTCAGACCGCACATCTATGTACTTAGGTTTTTTATGTCCACAAGGAATGAACTGGGAAAGGGTCAAGCCTGCAAATGTACTGAACTACTGATGTACTGGAACTACCAACCTTACAGTGACTGAAAAGTCTATGTTCGTCCAATGCGTCTTCGCCATAGCACTTCTCGTCACATACCGAACAATGGAGAATTCGAATCTGAATCAATCAATCGAATAATTGGATCACGCCAATATTTCCCGATTGAAACTGTTAGGAGAGGGTGTCAAGCGCATTCGGTGGAACACTATTTTTGGGCGTCAAGAAATACGTTGGTTCAAGCCCTCGTCATGGTCGTACAGCTTCTGAAACCTACCATAGAAAACGTGATCTTGTATTACTTTCCCAAATGTTTCCTCAGTCGTTCTTGCCTAACTTAAAAATTCCTTAGGGAACAAGATATTCATAACATGAAGGTCTTGTTTATACTTCTATCATTCTTTATCATACAGTACTGATAGAGATCTCTGGTTAACGATATCTAAATAGTGATAAGCGGAGCGAATCGAAGTTTTAATATAGTGATAAATGCTGATGTTACAGTCAGCTCACCTCTTTTGGGAAGCATTGCCCCAAGATAAGGCCATTTCTCACTGGAGTTAAGCGGGCTTCTGATTTGTCGGCTGACTCATCCCTAAACCGGTTAACTCGTCCAGAATCTTAACGGTTGATGAGGTTGTAGTCACTCACTTGTCGTGGACGAGTTGTACATGCATCGCTAGAAGTTCACGAGAATCGAAACCGATTCGACATGAGCCGCATTCCATTGACAGTAGTTCGTTTGAGTGGCTCAGTGTGTGCTCCTGTACATTATTGATTAGAATGTACAAAAACCAACTAATTATCTAGTTATAGAAAAACAGTAGATTGATTTTTCAATGGGCCTCAGTAGTTCTGGTTACTTATTTGTTTATTTCTTAAATTATTCACGGATTCATTTAACTTGTCTCACTAACATCTTTGCCCACTAGCCGCGTCCGCTTGGTAGCATTATCAGCATTATTAGCAGCATAATTGAACCAAAGAGACCGATTACTTATTCGATATCAGTTATTAAATCTTACTATATATAATTCGCTGAGTGTGTCAGTTGGTGTGTCCGTGTGTGTTTGTATGTGTGTCGGGTGTGTGTGTCCGACCGGAAATGCATAACTCCTGTCCCCGTGGACCGAGAGTTTTCAAACTTGGTAGAAATACGAGGGGCAGGATGGGAACACTTATAATGGGTGGCAGGACCGGACTAGGTGCAGAGATTGTTGTTGTCGGTTAACCCTTTTGGACAGTGTGCGCTATGTACTCAATTCGTAATCAGAGTGCACAGGGGGCGGGGCGTGCGCAATATAAATTCGAGCCGCAAATCCACAACTCCTGTTTACGTGGACCTAGAGCGTTGAAATTTGGTAGGATTACACCTTTCCCACAAACAGTGGATCCTCAGCATTTTAGTAAGTGATGTAGGATATGACGGGATCGTAGCTACTCGGTGACAAGAACTGATCGTTACCGATTAGAGAAGATAAGGGACCTAAGAAAGGCCACTTACCGATCAAAATCGTATCAAATCAATCAAAGCTACATCGTAGATACCGACCCTCGGTATCTACGATGTAGCTTTGACCGTTCAGAATGTTTCATTCGATAAGACGGGATGGTAGAGCAGGGTGACAAAAGTGAGTGGTAAGTGCAGTGATAGGGACCCATCNGCTACCCAGCAAGGTTTGCGAATTAATGAAGATTCATCTTTGGACGATATCATTTGTGACAAAATTCAACCGACCACCAATAATCTGGAATTCTCAACTAATGATATCTCCGTAAAGAAAAGGGTCCATTGATAAAGAACATCCAGTGGGTGGTAACGGTGATATCATCACTAAGAACATCTCCACAGCACCATCTTTGATTTTCTAACAGTTGGATTTTTGATGGTCCTTTATTTCTAAGGAGCAGAGCAAAAGTTCAAAACTTCCAGCAAAGGCGTAAGCACCGACTTTAACTGAATACTATTTGCACTGCCCTGTTAGTCCTGTGTCAAATTTCGTGTACGGGAAACTGTCACTTGTTTCAAAAAAGGAGTGGAGAGTTAGGCTTACTATAGCTTTATCAAAGAATTAGGGGAGCTTTCTATCTCTGTTGTGTCAAAACTTAAACCCAACTAAACAGCGGAAAAACTTGAACTCAGCTAAACAGCGGAAGAAACTTAAAAACTATTAACTTTGAAAAAGGGAAAAAAATTTTCTGTTCAACATTTCTCGAAAAAGGGTGTTTGACACAAGAAGGAGGAGAGCCTGACGTTTGCCGGGCGATCCGACTGGTATTACTATAATTAATCAATTAAATGATCTGGATATACAGTGCTGCGGTTATGAAGTCAAAAACAATGCTCGACATAGAAGTTACTGTAGTGATTGGCTCAAAGAACTCTACTCCGTGAGAGAGTAAAAAGAGCTCACTCTATTGCAATTAACAATTGCATGTGCTCACCATTCTGGGGTCCGGTATCTCCTCTCCAGAAACGCGTCGCGTTCACCGCATCCGATCGCGCGCAATCGGGAGCCTTGAAGCGAAAGGATTGAATTTCCGGCGGAACGGTAGGGTCGCCACCCTGTTTGCCGCTCGCCGTGAGAATTCAGGGAGAACCCCCATCTTTATGAGCAAAGTCTTCTAAAAAAGGGCCTAGTGATTCTTTTTATGTCAAGGAATAGCAGACTGCAGAGTAGGTGGATATTATCGATGGAAGTTGTTCTCTAAGGATAGATCATTAGTAGTATATCAGATGCTCCAAGATTATTAGCGGTTGGATAAGTTTTCTAGCGAAAAATATAAAAGCAAAGAGTAACCGTGATCCCTCATTGAGTCACAAACCTTGCTGGGTAACGGTCACAATATGGCACCAGTTAATGAACTGAACTCTCATAGCTTCACAATAACGAAGCTTCAATCGGTCCCTATCACTGCACTTACCACTAACTTTTCTGTTACC